GTAAATTCTAAATTGTTCAAATAATGACCCCCGGGGGAAGGGCGGGGCCACAATGGGGTATCAAAGTTTTACATAGAAATATATAGGAAAAATCTTTGAAAATCTTCTTCTCAAGAACCACTGGGCCAGAAAAGCTGAAACTTATGTGGAAGCATCCTGGTATAATGTAGATTCTAAATTGTTCAAATAATGACCCCCGGGGGAAGGGCGGAGCCATTATAGGGGAATCAAAGTTTTACATAGAAATATATAGGAAAAATCTTTGAAAATCTTCTTCTCAGGAACCACTGGGCCAAAAAAGCTGAAACATATGTGCCCATGGAAGGATCATGGGGTAGTGTAGATTTCAAAATGTCTAAATTATGATCAGTGGGGTAGGGTGGGATGCATTATGTATAACAAGGGGGAAATCTGGTAAAGAACAGAATGGTCAAAGCTTCTCAGGTGAGCGATGTGGCCCATTGGCCTCTTGTTTGTGTTAACTCCCACTCGGTAAATTCAAAATTTAGAACAAATTAAATGTTTTTCAATAAATTAAAAACAATAATAATTCATTACTTTTTAACTTTTCAACCAATTTTTATGGTCAAATATCTTAAAAAGTTTGAAATCGAAAATGTAAATGTTATGTTTTTATGCATTTACCAAAAAACAAAGAAAACGTTAATAATAGCATTATCAATGGTCTGATAGAAGAAGTTGGTATTGAGACAGGGAAAGCCGACTTTTACAAACATTGTTAACATGCGTGATACGATGTAAACAGCTTCAGTTAAAATCTGGGACAATCAAGGGGGCTTTAACTCTTGATATCCTCATGGGTGGGTGATTTAAATCCAGACACCGTGATTTAGCAGAAGAACCGATAAGGACAAAGTGCTTGGCGGTGTAAAAATCAGGGACATCGAAAGAATACTCGTATCCAGTATTGGTCTGAAGGAATCATAAAGTTTTAAAAATTGTAACAGGTAAGATGCTTATGCTTCTTTCATCGGTGTCTATTAACATGCACGATATTTTGTCGCTGTTCAGGAATTTATCAGAGCATAACTTATAGGTTTATACATGTACATTGTCTGGAATGCTTCCCAAAAAAACTTTAAATACGTTTCAGAGTAGTGCATACACGTACTTTAAATTAATGAATGTTACGAGGTCGGTAAACCTTTTTAAGAATCATTTCTTAGACTGGAATTTGTTTTTATTCAAAAGAACGGTACTAAAAAAAATACAAAAAAAATGCTGTCTATAGTATCACAAAATTATATTCCTAATGCTATAAATAAAATCTAGTATTAAATAGTAAACCTTTTTAAGAATCATTTCTTAGACTGGACTTTCTTTGCACATTATCTTAAGGGTAAATAGAACAACAAGACAGTATTTAACTCAAGGACAGCTAAAAAACAAATCATGGAAATAGCAACTAGCTATGTAATGTTAATTTAAGTAAATAAAGTATAAGAATGTTGTAGATACTTTTTTTCATTGACAGTTTATGAAATATATTTTAAAGGACTATAACGTTATTAAAGGTACGTACATGGATTTATAAGGGAGATTGCAGAAAAAAGATAGAATTTTGATCAACGGAGATAATTTACAATTTCTTTTTAGTGCAGAAAATCGATATTTTCATTACCAATCATAATAATCAACATAGGTCCTAATATATTTCCGAAGTTTTGTTTATACTATCAATCCTTTAATTATGAACAAAAAAATACAATTACAGTAACATGTTAATTTACAGAGTACGATTGACTATCAGTAATTATGGCAGCAAAGATTCGAGTTCTAACAGTAGTTACTAATCATGCCGATCTCGGAAACACTGGGAAGAAAACAGGCTGGTACCTTCCGGAAGTTGCGCATCCATATGACGTCTTCGTCAAGGCGGGATTCGAAGTTGATTTCGTCAGTCCACAAGGCGGACAAGCACCCATGGTAAAACTCAATAAAATCTCTTTAAAATTGATTTTCTTCTTAGATGCATTGTTCACATTTGCATAATTTTAGGAACAAACATAGTTAAAATAAATAATGAATTTTGAACTCATTTTTCATTCCAAAGGATCCAGGGAGTGCAGAGGCCTTTAAAGACGATCCTGTGTGTCAAGCTTTTCTGAAGTCCGGGGCTGAAAAATTAAAAACGACTATGACACCTTCTCAGGTGGATATAAGGTATACTGAAACGGAAATAAGTGAATGATTTAGATCGCCTTCATTTATTGATATCAACATTTTAATATTGTTAATCTATAATATGCGCAGCAGGCTGGTTCTTTTATCGAATTAAGTAAAAAATGGCCTAGGTAAAACATTTAATGATAATGTTGTATTTAGATAAAATTTATACCCTTTCTTCCAAAATAAATATTTTGGCGGATAAGCTTGCATGCTACTGTTTTCATTCCACAGATAGTCCATAGATCCGTTCCACTATCAAAGACAAATCGTATTTATTTATATAAGAATTTAAATAAAAAGCGTGATATTAATTTACTTTAAAAATTGATTGTTATGGAAATCTAATTTTACTACAATGACCAGTGTATTATGAAGAACTGGCTGTTTAACTTTTGTTTGTCAAGATAACACAATTATATTAAAGATCAAAGCTTCTTACAATGTAAGCTTTCAGCACCGTAGTCATTTTCATTGTGGACCTTTCATACGCTACTTTTTTCTCTTTATACAATTATTTAATCTATGGATACTAGAAAATCCTCCAACAATACAGTGTACATATACATCTAGCAAATGATGTTTATATCTCTTAAAAGAAATAGGAATGCATCTTTCAAGTTTGGATAAAAAAAAAACACATGCCATACTTCTTCGACCCTTTATCGCGTTTTCATACGAATATGAATGTTCATAATTCAATAACAGAGTAGTATTTACAGTAAGGATTTATTTATATGTTCACAATACATTAAATAAACTGTGTCCACATATTAAGAGGATGGAATATTTGCATATCCTTTTAATTCTGACTAAGCTTTTTATTCGTATGGACATCGACTGACTGAAAAAAATAACGCTGTTTTTGGCTCCTAATTTTATTAGAGTAACTTTGTAACTTTTAAAAGATTTTTAGAGTAATTATGAGGGCGAATTTTTATATCTGTTTTAACTGTTCTGGAGAATTTATACAAGATTTCTGTAATAGTAATCCAACCTCTTTTCGCCTTAAAAACCATATGGGGTCTTTTTTTAAATACATGTATGTGTAAAACTCGATCTTTCTCTTTCTGTTTGATGCACATTTTGTGTGGCCTGGTGCAATTAGCATAACGTTGGAAGTGTGCATATAGATAACGAACAGTGATCATTCTAAAAAATATATAAAATTTTGGATTTTTTAATAGTTCAAATATTGCAAGGCAACTACATTTTTTATCAGACATATTTCGAGTATTGGTTGGTATTTTCCCGAACACCACACCACATATACTTTGATAAAATTGTGCTGGTTCAAATCAACTGATGTCATGTTTTCATACTAAGTAAATACAATTTACTGATAGTACATGATCTTCAAATATAACATCAAAAGTCTTAATGCGTCGTTATGTACAGCAAAAGAAACTTTTTAAGAAAATTTTTGAATATTCCCACAAATTAAAGAAAATAGATGAGTAAAGTTTTGAATTCTATATGTATGTTCTAGGATGTTTTTTATCCCCCATACATCCTCATTCTCACCAAAATCTTTTATAAATTTGCTTGTAATTTTTTTTTTTGGCTGATGGACGTCTGTAAAAGTAATACATATTAACTAGTAATAAATATTAATTAGAAAAGTATGCTTATAATTTTATCAGCCCTCGAGTATCTTTTAAAACACTGTTTTTCTCTCAACTTTAGCCGTATTTTTTTTTTTAGTAAGTATAAAGTTATTTTTTACGCTGGTGGCCATGGACCAATGTTTGACTTGCCAAACAATATGGAGATCGCTAACTTATGTACCAAGGCTTATGAAGCAGGTGCTATCGTGAGTGCCGTCTGTCATGGAACTGTGGGTACGGAACATTTATAACACTATTAAACTAAAATTTTCATTGTTTTAAAGAAATATTCTCTAAAGATATCTGAGATTTCAAATATTGTTTGAAATTTACTATGATATGCAAGCTTAGAGTAAGTTATTTTTTTTTAATATTTTAAATATTTTATTAAAGTAGCTTAATTTAAAGATTTAATATTTGTGAATCATTATTGAAGGTTTAGTGCCGGTGAAATTATCGAATGGAGATAGCATTGTAAAGGGCCAGACTGTTACTTCGTTCACAAATGCGGAAGAAGAATTCATGAAGCTCACAGAGGCGATGCCATTTCTACTCGAAACGAAACTAAGAGAGCTAGGGGCCAATTTTGTGGGTGCTGCAAACTTTCAAGTAAACGTGCAGGTATTATATAATTCAAAGTATTTGTTTGTGGTTTAATAGATATTTTTTTAAAAAGTAAGAACAAATTAAAGATGTTTGATTGTTTTGAATATCCATAGTGCTTAAATTATTTCATGTCTGGAGTAATTAAATGTTGTAATTAACACCAGATTCAATATTTTAATTGTATAATTTAATTTTAGCTTTTGTATTAAATTCCAACAAAATATCTACAGAAATCCGAAAAGTCGGTCTATTGTAGTCAATTTTACTGAAATAGTTCACGGTGGTCCATGTTCTTTTATACGTGGGTTTGTCAATCGTCAATTCGGTTAATTTTCAGACAAGTGGACGAATTGTTACCGGACAGAACCCACCTTCAGCAAGTCCAATGGCTGAGAAAATAGTCTCTCTTGTGAAAGCAGCTTGAACAGTATAATCCAGTTGTGCCATAAAACTAACAAAATATACATATGTAGCTATTATAATAACATCTAGGTTTGATCCAGACAATCTTGACACTTTTGCCATAATCTACATGTATACTGAGTGAACAAAATATGTCATTAATATTTAATTGTGATATTAAAGATTCAAATGACCGAGTTTGTTTTATACATGTATTTATTGCTTGACATAAAAGGTACATGTATTTCGATTGTGGGTAAAAATGTTCATTACTGTTAAAATAATACATAGTTAAAGTATGTAAAACACATATTATTTATTTATTCAAAACTGTATATATCTCAATGACATTTAAAAAAAAAATGATATTAAATGCGACCTTTAGTGGCACAGTGTACGACACATAAGCTAACAAGATGTAAATTAGAAATTTCTGCATGTCTGAATTGCATCTATATCAAAGAAATCTAATAATCTTTTTTCTTCGTGTCTACAATTTTCGTTTTGTGTCGTATGTCAGCATTCGAACGTTTCTGTCTTGCTCCCATTTCGCTAATTCCTCTTTTGGTAGAACACATCGCATAACTTTACGCATTAATTTATCACAATCTCCAAAGACCCTTGATCCCAATGGAACTCCTTTATCATCCAGCTCCGAACAAGTTTTGTCATAATCAGTTGCTTGTCTGTAAATATTTAACATAAGTTTAATAAAAATAATGCAACTCGATAAAATTCTTCAAAACCAGATCAAACTTTAACATAAAACTTTTCTTCTTTTCCCAAAAATTCTCCATCTTGTGAAATCATAGTTTGAAAAAAGCCTTTTAATTTACTTTTTGGACATTAAAAGAAAATTTGACATACCTGTTGCAGATGACTAAACGTGTTGGTTCTTCTCCCATTTCCACCAAGTCGTTGGCTGGAGAAACCTGAAGTGTCGTTCCTAGAGCCAGAACAAGATCAGAGCGTTCAGCGTGTTCTTCAGCGCCGCTTAGAACGTCCCCTTCTAGATAATCCCCGAAGTTTATTATGGTGTTCATCAAGTATCCGTTACATTTCTGGAAGAGCAAGTTTCACTAATAATATTATCGCTTTGTTCCTCTTATGGTGTTCTGATTCAATCTTACTTTTACTAGAATGAGGGAGTATTAATTGATTGCGAATATTCTTTTATTTTCCATTATAATAAAATATGAAGTCGAAATTGAATTATACAAATGCATTTATACATAGTAGTACCTTATCTTCACAGACACGACCAGTCCGATGATTTATCCGGCAATGTTTGCATTTGTTTACAGGCACATTAGTGGCTTTTCCCCCGCATCTGGAATTTCTTACGTAACGTTTATTGCATTTTTCACATTTCTCGACAAAAGTATTGCCGTGTAGTTCCGATATCTGTCCTTCTTCTAGTCCAGACAGTCGATGCAGTCCATCAACATTTTGACTGATCACATGCTTTAAAAGTCCCATTTCTACTAGTTTTACTAGTGCCTCATGGGTGTAAGTTGGGCGGAGCTTTTGAAAGTCTCTTGTGTGTTTCTTAGATTTTCCTTTGGCTCCTTAATCAGGAAAAAAATCAGAAACTTCAGCTTTGATTTCATAAATTACAGGTAGTAAAATTTAAGCATTATTTTTTTCTAGAATCAGGGGGAAATGCATTACTGGGTATATAGTTGCATATTAATCATTTGGATGGTACATGTATATCGATATATTTTCTTCTCAATTTTGACCTCTAAGATTAATATCAATTGTTGTGTATAATTTTTTACCATGTTGTTTGACTTTGTCTCTTTCTGTCCACTTGCCATGAATTCCTCGGAAATCCCCAATGCCAGCCGCGGTGGAAATGCCAGCCCCTGATTTATATGAATCATGTTAAACCATCAAGTACTTTCCTCCTATGCCAGTGGCCTATTTTACATGTACCGTTTAATAATTAAAGATCTGAACATTAGATACTAATTTAGAAACCCCAATAAAGAAGTAAAATTTTGATTAGATATGCCAGGTGGTTACTTTCAATGACCGCTAGCTTAAACATTGTACATGTAATTTATAAATGCCCTTCTCTCACCTGTAAACGCTATGCAATGTTTGGCGTTTTTAATCAGGTTTGCTATGTGTTCCGCTTCCTGTTTAACTTTTGCGCATGAGTCGTGGATTTCTGCTGTCTTTGCAGCCTCTTTCACCATTTCTTTTTCCTCCTTCGTAAGAGTTGATTCTTTGTCTTTATACATCCTCCGTAAAGCGAACCAACATTCTGCGTGGAACGTTGCAAATCCTTCATCATTCCAATTAACATGGAAACCTAATAATTAAGAATGCAGGCTATATTACTGATTGTAAATCTTAGATTCGGCGGTCTTATTTATGGATCCACTTTTTAGTTACTTGTACAATGAAATAATTTAAAACAGAACAGTTCCAAAAGCATTTGTGAAGAATTACTAAAGTTCAATCCCTTTATAAATTTTAATCTCGTTTCGAATAAAAAAAAATATATAGCTTTGAGTATTATGATATATTTCTTGACTAATTCTAAGGCTATGGAAAATTTAGTATCGTTCATCGAGCATTCAGATTTTGTTTTTCTTAAGATAACGGATGCATTATTTTTCTAGAGACATAACAATTTTAGGAAAATTACAAATACTTGTGCTTTTTGTTTATACCCCTACCCCCCAAAAACGTATGTATCAAATAAATAATCAGAGTACAGGACCTGCTGTTAAACAAAAAATTTTGACAATACATATACATGTAGATCACTATAGAAAACATAGCTACTTTATGCTTGTCATAAGGGATAAGTGGATTCCCCTCAATAATAACATCTAATGACCTTTATTTATTTGCTTGTCAAGGAATTTTCAGAAGTTGATCGTGCCTTTAAATGTAAAGTTATGGTTGTGCCCCCGAACTGAAATTGTTTCCTTTTGAAACCTGATAATAAAAAATAATTGTTTACGAAACACTATGCGCGATAATTTCAGTACTTCGCTATCATTTAAAAAAAAATAATAATGTAAAATGAATAATTATATATATATATATATAAATATATAAATAAATTTGTCTCGCTGATACTCGATGGTATACATGTAGTATCTTAGAGAAAATTAAATTACCTATTTTCTTTACATTGTAAATAGTTATTCCTACTGGGAGGATAGTTTAATAAAGATGAATATATGGGTGTTTAAGGCCAATCGAAAGACAAAATTAACAAGAACGAGAAAAGTTAATTGAGTAATTGTCATCGAAGGAATTCTATGTGAATATTGTGAATAAATAATAAATCTTACGTTCATCTGCCAAAGGTGGCCAAATGTTATAAGTATTGATTTATACTCTATGCCATTACTGCTCTGGGATGTACAACATAATCATTAATACATTTCATGCAAACACTTAAATTTATTCTAATATATATAATAATTTAAACTTTGTCACAGGTGTAACAGTCTAAAAATAAAGGCCTTTACATCGGAAATGTGCATGTACACGTTAAGCCCGTTTTCGTATTTATTACAAAATAATCCTGCAGTCAAGATTGGATTAAGGATTAAGAGTTATCAAACCTGATCTTTTATCCTTTGGAACAGCAAACGCTCTTACATCCACTCTTCCATCTTTCTTTTTGATGGGACCTTTATCACATGAAATCAAATTACACTTCACAGAGTCGTCTGTTCCAGTCGCCATTTCCACTTAGTTTGGAAATGTTGTCGATGTATTGATGTATTTTAAATCTCCAGGTAGGGTATGTTTGTTGATATTGTTTATTAGCTTATATGTTGACGCAAAAGTTTAAAAATAGAATGGGGAACCCAACATTTAAATGTATGACAAATTTAAGCCATCTTAGATCTGAAGATTAACATAATATAAGAGAAGTTATTTATTATTGCTCACAGTATAGAAAGGAATGGTTTTACGTATACATTCACAAATTATAAAGAAAGGAGTGACATCCCATTATCTTAAACTTACGGTATTTTGCATAGAAATGGAAAGTTAAAAAATGGCACTACCGCATAAATGATCAGGCAACTAAATCCAAGTACCATGTGTGAATACTGCTCAAATTATTTATAAAAATAAAAAAAAAATATTGGAAGCTGTGGGGGGGGGGGGGGGGGTTAATTATTCATGCAAACAAAAAATGTACCCTTTATGCTTAAAGTGAAGCAGCTGGTATTCTAGTCAGAATGTATAATTAATGGTACATCAAAGTTAAAATCCAAGCACTTTGCATAGGTCGCCCATATTATTTAGAATAGGAGACATAAATAAAGAGAAGTGTATGTCAACATAAAAAATTGTACATTTTTGGTAAATATTATGATAAAAATTATGTACAAACTGGTTCAAATGCATAATTCTGATTCTGAAAGTTCCGATATACTTGCTTCTTCTAGGATAATTTTGAATTGTGAATAGTGAATACCAGGGAAACTATTTTCCATATGAAATACAATAAAGAAAATGCCTGAATGAAGATACCTGAGAAGGAGTCATGCCTTTGTCAATATTATTTTAAGATTGAATGATTGATTAAAAAAGAAAATAATATATTTAAAATTCGTTTTCTTAACACTATTTATCATTACACTTATTGAAAAACATTCTTATAAAAATTATTGTTCTACTTGGCACGAATTTAAATTTATTACCAGTTTTTTTGTAAAAACCCATGACATCATAGGAGGATGGAAATACCTTTAAATAATAAAAGACGATTTCGAAAAATAATTAATCTTCAACTCTTGTTATTAGTCATATCACCATGTTTGCTCTCAGGGTGTGTTTAATCTTCTTCCGGAGAAAAGAAATTTGATTTGAAATTAGTAAATACTTTTTCGTTATTATTATTTTTTTTGTAACGTCATTCTTTTGGTTTTCTGTTTTATATATCAAGAAATAAACTGGTGTAGTCTTATATTATCTTCCCTATGTTCTTCAACGCAATAATTCGAATTTGAAATTTTGAATGTCTTTATCAACAAGGTGTTGAAATCGGTTCAATAATTGTACATCTGCTGATTTTAATTGGAGTTAATGGGTTAAAGTTGTTAGACAAATCGCTTAGTATGAGACCTGAGAGTCGCTCACATCTGTTTGAAATTGGGATAATTTATAAGAAAAAGTTTAAATTAAGTATTATTTAGAGAACTCGACGGGTTCTGTATCGTAGATACAAATTTGGGGGTGGACGAGTGCTTTAGCACGAGTCTCCACCCCCAAATTTGTATCTACGATACAGAACCTGTCGAGTTCTCTAAATGATTTGTGACACGATCAATCAAAAATTGCTCCGCCCACTTAATAACTTTGCAGCATCCAAACTTCCGCTAGAGTTCTGTAGACGAGGCCCCGACGGGGAGTACGCATCCGCAGTATATATATTTCCACGGAAAACGTAAAATTCGGTCAGATTAGTTTTGACAGTTTAACGGGGTGGACGTAATCGAGTGATAGTCAGTCTTAATGGATAACTTGGAGGATTTAACCGTCATTGTTGTGATCTATTGTAGATGGAGATTTATCATAATATATTTCAGGGGTATTAAAATTCCGGTTTAACTGGATTTACGAAAACAGGATTTACAGAAAATTTTTCGATGGACTTTGATGTCACGGATTTTTATTTTCAAATTGAATTGCGACATTAAAAACGAAATGAAAGAGACGTGTGGCTGTCGTCAGCGAGAAGGATTTTAAAAAATAAAAAACGCGGAAAAATGGACCAGAATGATTTTGCACGGGGAGAGCGGGGTACGTACAGAGGATGTTTTCCGTTATTGCGAATTTTCCTTTTAGTTTGGATCGAAATTACGTGTAGATTCTGTGTGGAATAAGTTTTTAAAATTAATAAGTGATTGAGAAATTTTGACATTTTACATTCTCAGGAAAATACCGGCTATTTCCCCAAAAATTTATTATAGGAAAACATCGGCATTTACTATTTGTACATGCTTTTGCTAAATTGAATCAGATTTATTTTTAGACCTTTGCTGTATTTTAGATTCAGAATAGTTGGTAAATACAATACTGTATACAGGGCTAATACAGAACGGAAAGTAGCTCCGCCCACCACGGTCCCGTTCAGTATTGCTAATACAGAACAGTAAACTTCAAAGAAAAACACCGCTATCGTGTCACAACTTCACAATAAAAGCCTTATGGTTTGATGAAGATGATGACATCTTAATAGAATTCCCTTTTAATTTAGAATTTACACTAAGGTCAGAGACTTTGACACTACCAGTATGAATTAAAGCACATGAACTGGACAAATAAAACTTACATGTATGTTAGGTTTACTTAAAATTAAAAATTTTTATCTATGATTTTTCGGGTAATAGTACAGTAAATGCATGTAAATCCAGATAAATCCTTGTATACATGTAGCCTTTTACTTAACAATGTAAGCATTCAACCTCAGGCTATGACGCAAAATTAGGAATCTTCCTTAAATATAGTATCGTCTTTCCTTGTGCATACCCAGTGATTCTTGAGGAAAACAATAAATTGAATTATTTCTTCATGTTTCCATGGTGAATGTTGATCCCGAGTTGCAGCCCTGGGTCTGTCATTTGAACAGTTATGTAAAATGTACCCTATGAAAACGTATTAGTATTAAGTTACTAGTATATCTTTCTTGTCCAGTCTTTTTTGTAAACAAATTAATTTTTCTATGTCCAACTTTCCATTTAGGATGATTTAAAATTCTGAATTTTTCCAGAAAGCAAACACGTAATTAGCCCAATTGTTTTTATCGTATATTCTTCTCTTAATTTCTTTAATTATTAAACTTAGACCCCCCCCCCCATCATAGCCCTACCCTAACCCCCGAGGCCACGATGGACAATTTAGAATATTCACTTTATCAGGCAGTTACCAAAAATTTCATCTTTTCTGGTTCTTGGGATTTTGATACACTTTTAATTTCTTTCATTCCAAAGTATAATTTACACCCTCTATTATCGATTTACCATACCCCATGGAACTGATTAAAACATTTTGTATAGTTACAAATATCAACAAATGAAAACTCTGAACTTGGCAAAGGCATGGACACCAGGAACTTCCAGAGGTAGGATAGGATGCCTAGGAAGAAAAAGCATCCTCCGATGACAAGAACTTTATTTTAATCACAAAGCGAAGGAATTCATGACTTTCTAGATTGTACATGCAGACATTGTTGAAGTATGAAACTAAAGTCCAAATTAAAGGCGATGACAATTTATTAGCTATAAGTGGACAAACTCTGTCAAATAATGGAAGAACGCGTTTGTGTATTATGACTTTTTTTCTGCAGTATGGCTGCTCACTGAATAAATGTATAAAACAGCAAATAATATATATTAATTACATTCATTTTACAATCATCAAAGTGTAGTAGTATTTTACCATTATTTATTTTGACTCGAACAACTCCCGGATATATGTACACAACTGTCTACATATTTTTAGCACATACATGTATAAGTAAATTGAATCCGCTGGAGGTAGTCTGTTCTTTGATTGAATTTCCTTTAATATTATCACATACTTTTGTATATAATTTCTTTGGTCTTATTTGAATTCACCATACGCATTTTATTGTAGTATACATGTAGAGTCAAATTTAACTGATAAGATGCAATTTTTAAATTTCTCCATCCTGTTTGAGTTTGTATCTAATACAGATGAATCAAAGAATATTTAATGTTTTTCCTGTTCTACAATTTTCGTTTTGTGTCGTATGTCAGCATTCTGACATCTCTGTCTTGTTCCCATTTTGACAACTCCTCTTCTGGAAGAATACGTTTCATTACTTCTCGCATTAATTTATCACAGTCTCCGAAGACCCTTGATCCGTATGGAACTTCATCATCATCCACTTTCAAACAAGTTTCATCAAAATCAGTCACTTGTCTGAAAAGATTTTTTAAACATGATTCACTTGTTAATTTTCTCAAATCAATTAATACTTTTAACAAGAAGCTGCTTGCATTTTAACAAAATTCAAGGAAATTCTCATCAAAATCAGTCACTTGTCTGAAAAGATTTTTTATAAATTATTCACTTGATAATTTTCTCAAATTAATTAATACTTTTAATAGGAAGCTGCTTGCATTTTAACAAACTTCAAGGAAATTCGAATTTTATATTTCCAATAGATACTCTCCATCTTACGAGATTAAATTTAAAAAAAAAAGGCTTGTATTTCACATTTTGGGTATTAAAAAGATTTGTTTGATGTACCTGTTGCAAATGATTAAACGCGTTGGGCGTTTACCCATCTTCACCATCTCGTTTGCTGGAAACACCTTAAGTGTCGTCCCGAGTGCCAAAACCAGATCAGCGCGCGATGCTTGTTCTACGCCGCTTCTGAACACGTTTACCTCTAGATAATCCCCGAAGTTTATAATGGTGTTCATCAAGTATCCGGTACACTTCTAGAAAAAAGAGTTTTAATATTAGAATCGTAAATAATATAACCGCCTTATCCTTGATCAATATATTCTTATTTTTACATTAATGAGAACGTTTCACTTGATTAAGAAAAATAGTGTACTGTACTTTATTTTACCTCAACAATTTTCTGGAATTAAAAACTGTAATAAATAGTAGTACCTTTTCACTACAGGAACGACCAGTCCGATGATTAATTCGGCATTGCTTGCAGATATTGACGGGAACTTTGGTAGATTTTCCATTGCATCTGAAATTTCTTTCATACCGTTTTTTGCACTTTTCACATTTTTCGACAAACATATTGCCATGCAATTCTGTTATCTGACTTTCTTCAAGTCCAGACAGTCGATGCAGTCCATCAACATTTTGACTGATCACATGCTTTAAATTTCCCATTTCTATTAGTTTGAATAAAGCCTCGTGTGTGTAAGTTGGACGGAGCTTTTGAACGTCTTGTATTTCTCTCTTAGATCTCCCCTTGCTTCCTAAAACGGGATGAAATATAAGCTTGATTCCTTACATTAATAAAATGTCAGTACACGGCTTTTCTTGATATAGGGGGAAGATAAATCTTAATTAGTATGTAGATTCCTGACCTGTATATCTAATAATATTTTGCAATTATTGTTTTACCATGCTCTTGGACTTTGTCTTTTTCTGTCCATTTGCCCTGAATTCCTCGGAAATCCCCGATACCTGCCGCGGTGGAAATACCAGCTCCTGGTTATGAAACATGTTAAATCATCAATTTATTTCTTGCTATGTTTGGGGGCTTTTTTGATAAAAACAATATAAATGTTGGATATTATAATTTTGAGCTCACCTGGTGAAAAACAATAACAAATTACTCGGGTGAGCGTTGTTTATAAATAATTTTTATATTATAAATGCCCATGGCTCACCTGTAAACGCTATGCAATAGTCTGCATTTTTTATCAGGCTGACTATGTGGTCTGCTTCCTGTTCAAATTTTGCGCACGAGTCATGGATTTCTACTGTCTTTGCAGCCTCTTTCACCATCTCTTTTTCGTCCTTTGTTAGAGGTGATTCCTTGTCCTTATATAGCCCACGCAAGGCAAACCAACATTCTGTGTGGAACGTTGCAAATCCTTCGTCATTCCAATTAACAAGGAAACCTATTAAGAATAACAGAGATCACTTATAGGTAATCTTATATTTGGTGGTCTTATAAACATAAAAAAATAAAGCATTTATTTTGTAGGGTACCAAAAAATTCAGATTAAATGTGTTTAAAAATTTGTAAATTATGTATATGTACGTATTTTTGTTCCTAATTCTATACTTTTTTTGATATAGATTCGAATAAAAAAATATCATTGTCTAATAAAAAATGATAACAAATACATGAAAAGTACTTATAGTAATTGTCATCTAAAGGGAACTTTGTGAAGTGAATAACTAAAACACTTCTGTGTGGGTAGACAAAAGTTACATGTATTATACGTATTGAATTACCATGATCTTGGAAAAAGAATAACCGATACTTATACTAGAAGCACACACTTGATCAAGTAACCCCTCACCCAATGCTCTGAGAAGTAAAGTATTTTTATGAAATAAATATATTTCATTTGACCAATTTCTATTCTGATATCGACAAAAATTTTAATAAGGTAGACATATCACAAGCGTGGTCGTCTAAGTGATTTAATAAGCTCTGTATATACAAGTATTGCCCCGTTTTTTAATTTCTAACGAATTCATGTTGTTTAAAAGATGGATTGAAGGATATTGAAATGTCAAACCTGATCTTTTGCTTTTTGGAACAGCATATGCCCTGACATCCGCGTGTCCGTCCTCCTTTCCGATGGGACCTTTATCACAATAAATCAAACGACATTTCACAGTACCGTCTGTTCCAGTGGCCATTTTAAAGTAAGTATCCACTGCCGTCCCTGTATTAATCTGATTAAATGTCCAGGTTGTATTTGTTTTTGTTGTTATGCATTCAAAAACTGACACAAAATGTTAAAAATAGAATAGGGAATCCATAATTTAAAGGTATGACTAATATAAGGTATCTTGACCTGGTTTAGGACGTGAAAAGGAATGGAAATGTTTTCCTTCATGTTTTATTTGTCATTGCTATATGGAACATAAAACATTTCGAAACTATTGCAATCTGCTTTTAAATTTAGAAGTTTAAAAAATTGAATTTCTTTTTGTTAATGTAAAAAAAAATGTATTGGGTCAAGAATTGAAAATCATCTGTTTAATTTTCTCTTCAAGAAAATTTTAATCCCAATAGTAATTGTTGAAAGTCTATATTTTTAAATAAGCAGAAATTATCTTAATTGCCCAGTAGCACAGCTGGTATTTATCTCATTTTTCTATGGTTGGTATTTGTCAATATCGTAATTAATGTGCACATTGAGCAAGATACAAAATTCAGATGGTTATATTGTCAGACGTAGGACTGAGATTTGGTGCTTCGCATCTGGTTCCAGGCCCGTATCTGAAAATTAGACCTTCTTCGTCTTATATCCCTGAATATACAAATATCTTTATAATTAATGAGGAAAAATTTTTGAAAAATTGTAATTTTAATATAAACAAATATGTCAAACAAATTATGAGCATAAAAGATGAAAGTATAAACTGTGCATTTAATATCAACATTCTTTAAACAAAAACTTTCAATTTTATTCACATATGACTTCTCATTGCTGTCTGCCATACTCTCAACTAATAAATGTAAACGTAGTTTTTTAACGTCATTATACCTTTAGTTTACATTTCAAACAAAAACAAAGAAACGACAATGCACACATTTCTAAATGTAAAATCTAATTTTTATACTTTTTTAAACTACAAACCAAAAAACATAATTTCAACAGTAATACTGGAATGTTCCTTCTAAAATCTTTATTTTCATGATTTTAGTCCAAATTTATGTCTACTGTTTGCGTTTCATGTCGTAAGAGACCATGCAGATACATGTAAATGTCTATAGCTTGCGTTTCATGTCGTAAGAGACGAGTCTTTCCTCGCGTCTTGCTTCCCAATCTTGCAGTTCTTCTTTTGGGAGGACATGTTTCATGACCTCTGACATCAGCTTATCACAATCTCCAAAAACACGTGACCCTAATGTTGACGTTCCGTCCTCGTCCATCTCACAACAAACGGAATCATACAGAGTTTTTTGTCTGAATAAAGAAGTATTAACTGAGATTAATATTTTGTTTCTTTTAAAACTTTTCTTATTTTACTGTTACATCTAATCTGTGCACAACAGGCTATAAAAGATCTCTATATTAACAAAAACTAGTAATGAATTTTCTAGAGTTTTCTTTAGCTAAGCAAACAAGAACCTGTTACAAATAACGAGTCGAGTTGGTTTTTGTCCCATTTCTACCAAGGAATTCGCAGGAGAAACTTGAAGTGTGGATCCGAGAGCTATGACAAGGTCTGCTCGTTTAGCGTTGAGCATTGCGTTTTCCAAGACATCTTCCTCCAGGTAGTCCCCAAAATTGATAATAGTATTCATGAGGTAACCTCCACAACTCTAAAAAAACAAGTTTCATTTATATACAGATATATTACTTAAGAATATGCTGTATATCTAAAGGACAAATAATACAATACATATAAAACACACTTTTATCAGATTTGAATTTTTTGCACCCCCCCCCCCCCCCCAATCAAACATTCAAGGGTACATAGTTTTTGCCTTGTCCGTCCGTTTGGCTGCAAAAACTTTAACCTAACTTTCTATTGGGATTTGGTATTTTATATTTGATTTCCTTCTGACATGACCTTTGTTTGAATACCGTATGATTGATCATATTTGCATCCTTGGGAAGAAGGGTAATGTAGATCTTGTGTTTTATATCATAAACCCGGAGGTAAAGTGTGGTCACAATGAAAGGTCAAAGGAATACATTGGTTAAATCTTTAAACGTCTTCTTCTAAAAATAAAAAGCAGTGGTATAAATTTGTTCAAATTTTGAGTGCCCCCCTCGGCCTCGGGAATAATAGTTATAGAAGGGCTATAAAGAATATATTTGTTCGCATTTTCTTCTTAGGAGTAGCAAAGCCATGATTATAAGTCATAATTAAGAAGCAAAGTCAGGAAGTAGATTCAAGACGTTCAAATCACCCCCTGGGCCTCTCATATAAGAATTTTTAAACACTGCACATATGTACATGTATGAATTTTCCTAGCGAAAGTGCTCAGGTGAGCGATTTTGCCCATGGACCTCTTTTTGTTTCATTAATTTTCTTTTAAATTCATATGAATTATGCATGTATTCACGGAACATCAAGGAGAGTTTTAAATCATTTCTATATGTACAAACGTATCAGATACCTCATCTGAACAGACGCCCCCTGTTCGGTGGTTTATGCCACATCTCTCACACTTCTTCGGTGGCACAGCAGTGGATTGTGGCCTGTAGCGGACATTTTTTTCATAACGTTTTCCACATTTCTCGCATTTTTCCAGGAACGCATTACCGTGTAACTCGGATATCTGCGATTCTGGTATTCCCGATAGTCTGTGCAAGCCGTCTGTGTTTTGACTGATTACATATTTCATATGTCCAATCTCCAGAAGTTTGAGTAAGGCTTCGTGTGTGTAGGTAGGACGTAGGTCCACGAGGCTAAATCCCCTCTGCTTCGATAATCCCCTTTGGCCTGTTTAGATTATACATTTAAAAATGTTTTCTCAAAGTTGTCTGAAAAGGTAAACTATCCATTCTTTTTGCATCTTGTTTAGTTTTAATTACATGCTATAATTATATTTGCTTAAATTCATTAAAATAATTCAGCTGAAGTAAGTTGTTGTTATTGATACGTGTAAAATTACCATATTGTTTGACTTTAGCTTGTGTGGTCCACTTTCCATGAATTCCTCGAAAATCACCGATCCCGGCTGCTGTCGAAATACCAGCACCTACGAAAAACATTAAAAGCAATTCATATTACCTCTTAATTGTTAAATTATTCACAACATGGTTATGATTTATCTTGATAGATGGGCACATGAAATGCCATACCGGTGAAGGCAATGCAGAAGTTTGACTTGTTTATTAACTGGGCAATTCTTTCAGCCTCCTCCTTGATTTTTGTAAGAGAATGGTGAGTTTCTGCTGTCTTGGCGGCTTCTCTAATCATGTCCTTCTCCATTTCCGATAGGACCAAGACCGTGCTGGCTGGATTCTTAGCACATGCCGATCTCCACAATGTATTCCAACAGTCGATATGGAACATAGCCATTCCATCATCACCCCAATTTACTTTGAATTCTAAAATAATTAAATGACAGTTTCATCGAATATTTTTTCCCGAATTATTAGGTTTGATCAAAAAAACAAGGCGCTGATAAAAGAACCATATACTACTGTCAAAAGCTATAATACATGTATAATGAAAGAAAAAGTGAGCAAGCTCACATACCCCACGCTCCCCCAAAACTCAAAGTGCTGAAAATCCCGGAAAAAATGAAAGAATCGGAATTTCCTGGTAATATGCACATCTACAAATTGTGTCCTAAATATATGCAAAGTTTGATGAAATCCTGTACAGCGGTTTATGAGGAGTTGCGCTGACAAACTGTTCATCATTATATTCAAGATATCCCCAAAAATCTAATTTGAAAAGTGCCGAAATTCCCAGAAAAATAAAGGAATCGGAATTTCCTGGTAATATGCACATCTACACATTGTGTCCTAAATACCTGCAAAGTTTGACGAAATTCTGTGCAGCGGTTTATGAGGAGTTGCGCTGACAAACTGTTCATCTCAATATTCAAGGTATGGCCAAATGCCTAAGTTAAAAAGTGCGGAAATTCCCGGAAAAAATAATGGAATCGGAATTTCTGGTAATATGCACATCTACACAATGTGTCCTAAATACCTGCAGAGTTTGACGAAATTCTGTGCAGCGGTTTATGAGGAGTTGCGCTGACAAAAAAAAAAAGAACTGACTGACTGACTGACACTCTGACGGACGGGTCAAAAACATTATACCTATGGAAGGGAATTACCGCCCAAAGTCTATGTATCTTGCTTTTATTCTTATTCTGCCTACTTCTTTATGCTTTGTTATTATTGTAACTGTATGTCACTTTATTGTTTTCATATTCGTCTTTATTACATTTCACTTTGACTTTTATCCTTCTTCATTTTGCCCTTATTTCTATGTTGCTTTATTCTTATTAATTCATTTTACTTTCTTTTAAATTGATACAGTTTCTTAAATGATCATCTCTATTACGAACGTTAGTTCAATCACGCAAACAATAAAGCATATTCAATGAAGACGAATACAAGTTGTCAAAATTTAGTGCGGCATTATAACGCTAGGTGGCAGGGGTATTCGCTACGAGTGTTGGTAAAATTAGGTAAGCAAATCCGGGCCGGGGTTATTCGACATTTTTCAATTTTCTGCCTTACTACTTTATCAATCGAACTTAGATTTTCAAATGACTGATGTTTGTTATAAGTTCAGGTACTGTATGTACCTTATACATGCCATTCCCACGGAAGTCTCGCTAGATGGTAAGATTCCCCTGGAAGACTGACTACATAGTGACGCTTCCTTCGGAAGACTATACAGTGGGTGGGACTTCCCCCGGGGAAGTTTCAATATATAGCCAGTCTTCCGTGGGAAATCTGGCTATATATAGCAATTCGCACCCTTCATATCAACCCCTCCCCCGAATAGTTTTTTTAATCGTAAAACAATGTTTATATACTAACTTTATCAGTTTTTGAAGAAAAGTTATACGTCCTATATGAATAAATATTTAAATAATATCATTTTGATAGTGTTTTATAATTAAATCATTTTAACCATTTAGTTAAACATAGATAATCTTCACGAGTACATATGGATAATGACTCTTCCTCCCCCCCCCCCAGGGTGCAGTCGCCCGAGTGGCACTGTGGTTACGGCGTCTGCTCTAGTCAGTCACGAAGTACAGTTTTAAGGAGTCGATCAATACGTCATGGGTTCTAATCCCACTGTAGGACGTGGAGTTCGGTCATTCGGATGAGATCTAGACCGTATTATCCGAGGTCCCGTGTCGCAGTAGATGCTGGCCGAAAAAAGACCCTCGCTGCTAAATGGCTATAAGTGCCGAGTATGTAAGACAAATTTGCAGCTCTCCACCGGCAAGAGGTGGCTTCTCCATTTGAGTGAAAAATTCTCGAAGGGGACATTATACAATGTACAGTCACAACCCCAAGTCTCAATATATTTACTGACTTCCGGGTGGACGACCTCCTATGGGTTAAGTTTCACCGGTAGAGGGGAGGGTGGCCACGAAACGTTTTCTTAAACGTAACTTTTTACTACTGGAAAAGTTCAGCGAAAGGCTTGTTGCCCCCATCCCTTACACTTTTTGTTGCAGTACTAATAGTCAATTTATATATTAAAAGTCATGTATTTAATGGCATGCATATGAGTAAAATTTAGTACTGAAAAAAAGTTGACGACCTTCCCCCCCTTTACCTCCACCAAATAGAATTTTCGAGTTTTAAGATTTTTTTTAGCTCTCCTGGCTGATGACAAATACGGTGCGTATTAAAGATATCAAAAATATTAAAATTTTTATGTCAATTAAACTGGAATATAATTATCCAACAATTAACTTTAATAGAGTTATATTTTTCAGGTGAGAGAACAGTGACCTAGCATCGTTTTTGAAAGTGGGGAGGGGGGCAACTAGAGAATAAAAAATCAGGCTACCCGGCTGAAAAAAAAACTTGAAAACTTGACAAGCAAAAAAAAAAAAAAAAAAAAAAAAGGAAATTGTCCAAACTTGAAAATACAAAGGCGTTGGAACTGGGAAGGGGGGGGGGGGGGGGCTTAGCCCCCACTTTTTTTTTCCGAAGATAGACTTAGTACATGTATAGACATTGAACATTCATGCGTAGGTTTAGCCCCCCCCTTTCCATGGACACGATGCAGTATGGGTTTGAAATGGGGAAAGTGGAGGTGTTTGGAAAAAAAATTTGGCACTGGAGTTCGAACCTAAAAACACCCCCCCCCCTCCCCGAAATAGGATTTTTGTGTTTGGAAAATGAACATTTCTTTTTTTTTTTTTCTTGTCAGGTTTTTTTTGAAGGTCTAAAAAAATTCTTACACTTAGCCCCCCCCCCCCCCAACGTTCAATTTGCTTCCGACGCCAATGAAATCCTATTTCGGGGGCGGGGTGATTTTGGGTTAAGATTCAACTTCTTCTATAGTATAAAATTTAAATTTTCTTCCTACTGTACTACATTAACTTATTTGACCCTTACTCTTACAAAACGTGGGTCGGCCTTTCAATGAACATATTCAGTATGGTATAAAGTTATGTCTGAAAAAAGAGGCCGCTATTCCTGTGTGCCCAGAGAAAATAAATATGGAGTTTCCATCATTGGATCGGATGAAATCGGATCCGGCCTTCAGAAGTTCGATTGATAAAGTATTAAGGCGTATTGAAGAATCTCAAATAACCCCAGCCTTGGTTTGCTTACCTAGTTTTACCAACACTCGTAGCGAATACCACACCACCTAGCGTTATAATGTCGCACTAAATTTTGACGGTTTGACAACTTCCATTCGTCTTCATTGAATATGCTTCATTGTTTGCGTGATTGAATTAACATTCGGAGTAGAGATAATCCTAATAATTTATTTAAGAAACTGTATAAGTTGAAAAGAAAGTAGAATGAATAAAGCAACATAGAAGTAAGGACAAAATGAAGAATGATAAAAGTTCGAAGTGAAATGTAATAAAGACGAATATGAAAACATTAAAGTGACATATAATTACAATAATAACAAAGCATAAAGATTTAGAAGTAGGCAAAATAAGAATAAAAGCAAGATACATAGACTTTTGGCGGTAATTCCCTTCCATATATACCTCCCGCAACTTGTTGCGTGGGGTATAATTACATACAGTGTATGTACATGTCTCTGTATAATTATCATGATGTACATAAATGTGTCAAGGGAAGACCATTATTTTCATGCTCAGCAACTAGGAAAGGTAGGTCATTTACAAAATAATGTTATTGATTGTTTATTTCAGGAAGTTTTTAACATTTTCATAAATAGTGGTTATTCATCTTCCTGCCCCTCCCCCCTTTTCAAATGAAATCGGTCGTTAATTAATACCCTTTACGATACACGTATCATCATTATTGTGTTATTAATGAAAAAGGTTGTACTCGTAGGGTAAAAAAAGTTATTAAATAAAATTTCTTCGTAAACACATCGTCTCAAGCCACGGTCCGGAGTTCGCATATATAGCTCTCTCCTACACGTGGCTGCTTGTTCACAAAAAGTGTCGTAATCTTGAATATTTACGCCTCTCTATTGTGACGTCATATTCAGTCAGTGGCAAGTTTTGTTTCCATCGCAATCGAATTCAACAACTGACGTCAACAGTATACAAGAAATATATCCTATACTGCGATTGGATATTGAAAGGTCGCGATAAAGTTCATCATCCGACTATGCTTTACTCGCATTGGTCAATATTTTAATGAGCTACGAAGAATCCTCTCCTCGTTCAACCACGGCCAGATGGGAAAGGAGAGTACATTTTGGCCGTGGTTTGCGACGATGTCGTAAACGAAGCATTAAATGTTCAATCCATTTTTTTTTTCTCAAGGAAAATGGTACAGTATAGAAACAATTATTATCTTAAAAGAAAAGTGGACAGGCTTTCGCTATATACATGGATGTAGGCGAAACCCTGTTAAGGTCAAGATCTAATAAATGAAAGGTGCCTACAGATTTATCAAACTTGAGAAATAAATTCCTTTATTGATGCTTTACAACTTTAGCTTGGTCAAATAAGGTGTTTCAGGGCATAATTTGTTGGTAAACAAGAAGAAAAACTGTATTTTAAACTTTAATTTTCAATGAAAAATTAAGAAAACCAGTCATGAATATGGGAGTTTTTTTCATATTCGGCAAAGAAAATGTATCCAGATTGCCTGCAGTCTCTCAGAAAACGTTAATTAGTATGTTCATGGACTCTTCTTTAAATCAATATCAAAGTTAATATAGGTATCCGGTTTACTTTTCATATGAATTCAAATTGAATGACATGAAAATACCCTATTCTCTACATAATTCTGCTAAACCGTAAAGTACGGGAAAAAGAAAGTTGAAATTGATTATGACGTCATAATGGATCTAGCACCAAAAAATTAGTCTCAAGTTATTTACTAGATCTTGACCTTAACGTTGTCCACTTCTTTATAGAAATTAAATATACCTTTATTAAACGTAGCATTTCAAGAATAAGACTTAATTTAGCGAGTCTACCTTTCTGTTCATTCTTATCGACGCAGTATGCCCTTACATCAGTACGCCCGTCTGTTACCAGAATTGGTTCTCTGTCACAGTTAAGGAGACAACACCGTCCAATAACTTCGTTATTCGCCATGATTATATGAAGTAAATTTCAACACAGACTGTTTAATTTTACTTTCAAGTTTATGAATGTATCAATGCCTGAAATAGATTTCTGTGTCATACGCAAGTCAGCAATTCAATGTTTGTGTTTATATCCGTTAATTCGTAACGAGGATGTGTATTACGTCGCAGGATAAATATAGCCTGGGGATTTCCACTGCGTTCTTAATTTAAACTTTTCGCGGAGTTGAAACAGGTGTTGAGATACAGCCAGTTCTCAAATATCGACTACATCTAACCACATAAAATATGCTTTATGTGTAATTTATAAAACCAAATAATATTGCAATGCTTTTTAATTATCAAAAGAACAGAATGAAATAATCAAATATCTTCACGTTTAATTTGCAGTGTGTCCCATTGAAAGAAAATAAATATGCAAAGGCAGCTTTTGAGTAGAATAATATTGGAGAAAATACCTGCTAATCGAATTAGAAATGTATTTTCTAAAAAAAAAAATAAAAAGATTGAAAAACCTTTAAACTTTTCAAAAAAGAACAAAAGAATGAAAATCCTTATCCGAGTTCGGGGAAATTAAGCACAGTTCACATTAAATCCCATTCATTTAGCTATTCCTCGCTTACAATGTACTTAAAATATTGTAACCGCAGTTAGGTCCAATCATTGTTTTCCCCTCTCGACAAGGCACTGTATATAATCGTTAAAGGAGAAATTGTACCTTAGCGTGGCTCATTACACCCAGAGATTATTTTAGATTTCATTACAGCACCACTTACGGCGGTATTATGTAGATGTCAAATACCCAAATGGAGGTATTGATAAAATAAATATACTGTAGACGTACTTTTTTCCACGTGGTCATAATTCTGCGGAATCTCAATTTCTGTTCAATCCGCGGGTAGAAAATTACGCGGAATTCCTACTGTCACTATATGCCTTACATTTACATTAAGTACACTTGGACAAATTTCCGCTGAAAATTTGTGACCGTGTACATAGCGTAAATTAATACCACGCGGAAAAAAGTACTTCTACAGTACCTGTAAAGTGAATTTTAATATTTTTTTTTCTAATTTTAGTGAAATATCTTATTTCAAGTTTATTATCAACAGAATTCAGAACTTTCAGTGTCAAATGATGGAGATATTCTTAAGACAAGTACACACAATGAGAAAACCTCATAATACCTAATATTTATTTCAATAAAAAAATAGTTTTCTCCTTAAGAAAAAAAAAACAACTAATATCATTATCTTTTCAATCTGTGCATAAAATATTAGGAAAATGAACCCTGGAGTATGGAGAGACAATGAATGTATTTCAATGAAATGCATGCGACAAAATGAATGAAGAATGTTTTTACAAAATAAAATCCAATTTAAAAATATTTATATGACAAGTCCACTTTCAAGAGTTATCTTTCCTAATAACACAAGACTCAAAACACTACGGTGCGTTTGAACATTACATTCAAAATTCATAACAAAGCTTTAAAATTCCAGAGTATATATTTAAATCAATAAAGCAAGTATGATAAACCAACAAAAACACAGTAAATCATGCGAGTAAATAACTTTTTTTTATTTCAAGAAGGTTGTAGATGTTAACTCGAATCTCCTCCATACATTGTTTGGCGAAGATTCAGATGTTGTTTTCTTTTGTTTCTGCTTAAAAGCATCCTTTCTTGGTTTACGCATTATGAATCCGTTTTCACTGTATACAACATCGCATGAATTAATATATTTTTAAAGGTTGGTCGTACTTTAAAGGTACCTGTACAATTCGTCCCCAGAGAAAAACGGTCGAAACAATGAAGGTTTATGTTTTTGTGCAGTACGTCATCAAAAAGTGGTGTAATGAGCCTCCTTAATGTGGTTAGTTTGTGTGGTTAAAATCATTCGAAAATCTGAATACTGTTAACGATTGTAATACATGTACATGTACGCGTAACCTTTCAAACGGCCATTCCAAGATTTTCTATGACTACTGTCCGCGGAAAGAATGATTTTGAGGATACGAAATCAAAACCAAACATAAATTAAAAAATCTTTGAAATTCAATTCATTTTAAGGGGATTGGCATAAAAATTCTTCAAATTATGATGGAAAAAAAATCTAGAAATGTGCTTAAAATATAGTGTTTTAACCGTTTATTATGGTTGGTCCCTTGATTTTTTGGGGAATGTTACAAGCTGAAAGATTTTTTTTCAACTCATTTCTTACGATACAAGTATTTTTTATAACAAAAAACAGCCCACTGGTCAGAAATGGGCAAATCTCGGCAATAGTATGGATGGATAAAGATTGTGACCATCATAACCAGAGTCCTCTGTCTTGGGTGCGAAGTTTATTCAATGTGAATAAAGTATTGGTTTTTACTTTTTAGCTCACCTGAGCTGAAAGCTCAAGTGAGCTTTTCTGATCACATTTTGTCTGTCTGTCAACTTTTCACATTTTCGACTTTTTTTCAGAACCGCTGCGCCAATTTCAACCAAACTTGAGACAAAGCAACCTTGGGTGAAGGGGATTCATTTTTTTCAAATGAAGGGCCATGCCCTCATTAAATGGGAGATAATTCAGAAAAAAAAAGTGAAAATTTGTTGGCATATTTAAAAAATCTTCTCAAGAACCACTTTGCCAGGAAAGATGAAACTTATGGGGAAACACCCTCAGGTAGTGTAGATTTAAGTTTGTTCAAATCATGACCCCCGGTGGTAGGGCCGATCATTGTTTTACCTAGAAATAAATAGGAAAATTCTTTAAAAATCTTCTTCTCAAGAACAGCAAAGCCATGATTGGTCATATTTATATGAAAGCATTCTCAAGTAGTGTAGATTAAAGTTTACCCTGGGGTAGGGCGGGGTCACAATGGTTTATGTATAATTTAATAAACCAATAGATATATGTAGGAAAATTCTTTAAAAATCTTATTCTTAAGAACAGCAAACCCATGATTTGTAATATTTATATGGAAGCATCCTCCGATAGTGTAAATTCAAATCATGAACCCAGGGTGTAGGGCGGGACCAAAATGGCCGACAAGTTTTACATAGAAATATGTAGGAAAATTCTGTAATAATCTTATCCTTAAGAACAGCTAGCAAAACCATGATTTCTAATATTTATATGGAAGCATTCCTAGGTAGTGTAGATTCACTTTTGTTCAAATCATGACCCCTGCATGGGGGTAGGGCGGGGCCAAAATGGCCTATCAATGTTTTACATAGAAATATGTAGAAAAATTCCTTAGAATCTTCTTCTCAAGAGCAACAAAGCCATGATTGGTCATATTTATATGGAAGCATTCTTAGATAGTGTAGATTTAAGTTTGTTAAATTCATGACCCCTGGGGGGTAGGACGGGGCTACAATGGCCGATCAAAGTTTATATATAGAAATATATAGGAAAATTCTTTTAAAAATCTTCTTTTGAAGAACAGCAAAACCTTGATTGGTCATATGCAAGTATTATCAGATAGTGTAAATTCAAGTTTGTTCCAATCATGGCCCCAATGGGTAAGGGACGGCCATAATGGATGAACAAAGTTTTACTTAGGAATATATAAGAATTCTTATGAGCTAACTTGAGCTGAAAGATCAAGTGAGCTTTTCTGATCACCCGTTGTCCGTCGTCTGTCTGTCTGTTTCACATTTTCAACTTCTTCTTAAGAATCACTGAGCCAATATTAACCAAACTTGGTACAAAGCATCTTTGGGTGAAGGGGAGTCCATATTGCTAATATAAAGGGCCAAGTCTTTTCCAAAGGGAGAAATGTAAGAAAGTTCAAAAATAGCGTGGGGTCATTATAGAGTCTTCTTCTCAAGAACGACTGGATCAGAAAAGCTGAAACATAAATGAAAGCATCCTTTGATAGTGTAGATTCTAAAATGACTAAATCATGACCCTATGGGTATTGGGCAAGGTCTAAATAGGTATTACAAAGGGGGGAATCTGTTAAATAACAGAAAGGACAGTTACTCAGGTGAGCGATGTGGCCTATGGGCCTCTTGTTATATCTGATATGTTTTCAGTCTTAAGTAAAAGATCTTATAGGGATTAAATAAATACATTATTTAAAGGATATTCAACGATTTTTCTAACTGTAAGTTGGCGGAAAGGAATCAATCTTTGTCTTCACAAAGCGTTTTAAACAAGAGGCCCATGTGCCTTATAGGTCACCTGAGCATCATGCAACAACTTTACAACGATTGACCTCGGTTCATGTTTTAAACTAGATGTCATGGCATTCCCAATTTTGAAAGAGGTACCACTGCTAATCATAACTATACACTTAGCATGTTTAGTTTGGTTACTTAATACCCATAGACAGAATAGGGGAACAAAAAAATGCATTTCGACTTATCAGTAATATTCAGCAATAATCAGTATAGTGCCACTACCACATATGAACCCCTGACCCTTGGTCCACACATTTCACAATTTTGGAAAATATCAAATGAATCAAAAATATTTGATTAATACAGGAGTAAACAAGATTTCAATCAATTAATTCATTTCCGGTATATAAGTAGAGCTCCCCCCCCAACTATGGTACCCCTGAATCAGGGGTGTTGAAATTCACAATTCAGGAAGAATGGTCCTTGCTCATCATAGCTATATAGGTAGTTCATCTGCTTAATACCCGGGAGAAGAAGATTTTCAGACAATTTCTGCATTTTCTCTATAGAGCCAGTAGAGCCCCGCCCTAACAACAGAGCCCCTGACCCTAGGGTAATAAAATTCTAATCATAACTATGTACCTAGTTAATTTATTTAATACCCAGGAACAGAGAAGAAGATTTTCAAAGAAATAATCCATTTTTCACTGTATAATCAATGGAGCCCTGTCCTAACACCAGAACCCCTGACCCTGGGGCCATAAAAATTCACAATTTTGGAAGAGGCATTCTTGCTGATCATAACTATATACTTAGTTTATTTAATACTCAGAAGCAGAGAAGAAGATTCTCAAAGAATTATTGTATTTTCACAATATAATCAATAGAGCCCAACCCCAACATCAGAACCCCTGACCCTAGGGCCATAAAATTCACAATTTTGGTAGAGGCACTCTCGCTCATCATTACCTTATATTTAGTTGGTTTATTTGAAACCCAGGAGCAGAG